AGTCCGAATAATGTAAATAGTGTACATAATACCTCATCTCAGAAATATAGAGAGATACTGAAAGGCCAAAACATTGTAATAAATATGGCGACAAAGATGAGGACAATAGTCCGAATAATGTAAATAGTGTACATAATACCTCATCTCAGAAATATAGACAGACATATGAAAACATACTGAAATAACTGGATAATTCTTCTTCTATACACTGGGTCCCTTAAAGAGATGGGCGATCATGGCTCTCCAAAACATCTTATCTTTTGTGGCCCTTAACAAATTTTCCCTCTTTGCTAAGGCTGTCTCCCTCCTCTATTTCCTCCATCCATTCTCACAAACTCTTCAGGTAGGTGGCCCACTGCCTTCTCCTATCTGTCTTATCTTCAACATGCCCTGTGAGGATTCATTTTTCCAATCCCTGTTTCCTCATTATGCGTCCATTATACCATCCAACGGAAACACACCATTTTGCCATTGTTCAAATTTTCTTTTAGACATTCTCGCTTCTTACTAGCTCCATCCATTCAATTCTCAGTATCCTTCTGTAGAACTACATTTCCCTTGACTCCGGTTTTCTCTTTATCCGTTGGGAGATTGTTTAGTAATCCATTCTATATAGGAGAATTGATATCACGTAGCAATCCAGCACTCTTTTCTCTGTTTCTAACGAATTCATTTCTGTTTCACAGCAAGTTGCTTAGATTCTGGAAGGCATCTTTTACTAGTCAACTGCTTGTTCGAATTTCAGTGTCACATCGTTCTTCTGTCAAAAGACTTCTCAGATAACCTTCCGCAACTGATTTGATGTTAACATCTCCAGTTTGTAACTCGAATCTTGGACCTTTTCCCTTGCTGATGACCATAGTTTCTGTCTTGTTGCAGCTGATAATCAGTCCTTTTTTCTCTCTCTTTCTTTTAAGACGCACGTGCCATTCGGAAACCTTAGAGAAAAAAATTACCAAAATCCTGGCGAAGGATTTCAAAGGTCTCGGTAGGAGATTTGCCGAGCTTCAGGCAAAATTCGTTGCTCTTTGTTAACCATCGTAAAGATTGCAGAGCCGTTAAACAAAAACGGTACAAAACTTTTGCATCATAAATGAACACGGGTAGACATTACAAAGTCAATTAACAGATTGAATCAGTAGGTTGGGTATATCTGAGCCTTAGCCACACGCGTGTTTTCGTTGTATGGTATAACAATAAGCCAGAGAAATCTTCCAGAAACACTTCGTAGTGAATGCTGGACAATTTCCTTGCAGATGAAAAAAAGAATGGAAGCAACAAAGATGTTCTACAGAAAGATGCTGAGGATATCATGGACGGAGCGCGTAAGCAACGCAGAAATCTTAAAAGAAAAACACACATCAGCAGAAACAGCACGAGACAGCTGAAACTAAAATGAGGAAAAACGGCTTGGAAAAACTGGCACTCACAAGTCATGTCGAAGGCAAGGGGCAAGGGGCGAGAGTCAGCAGGTTACTCACATGACCAGCAAGTTCGAATGGATAGTGGAACGGTGGAGTGAGAAAGATGGTTAGTAGACAAATATTGGTAATAGCTGCAAGTTATGGGTAGTTAGGGAGAGCCATGATCACTTACGACTTGAAGGGACACGGTACACAGAAGAATTTCTATTTATTTATTCTCTCGGACACTATTATAAATTATCATTTTTACATGTTCTGCTTATGTGTGCTGTGTCTCTTGAGAACGTCGTTGATCATGGCTCTCCACAACTTTCTAGCGTTTGTAGCTTTTAGTAAAGTTCATTTTCCATGCAATAGGTAAAAGATTATTTTCTCCAATTGTCTTTTGAATGATCTGTTTGGAAAGAATGCTAGAATAATCAAGAACTTATAATGGGAACAAGCAGCCTGCATCCGGATATAGAAAATAAATTGAGTGTGTACACAAACATAGAAAGGGGCATAAAACAAGGATGTGTCTTCTCTCCAAATTTATCCAACCTCTACAGCGAGGTTGTCTCAGTGGAACTGGAAACTATACAAGGATTTATTATTAGTTTTATTATCACTCAATAATATAAAATACGCAGCTGTCGATCGCTGACACGTAAAGAAAACTACAAGAACTCCGAGACGGTATTTGTTGAACGGCTCTGCAATCTTTACGATGGTTAACAAAGTAGAGCAACAAATTTTTGACTGAAGCTCGGCAAATCTACTGAGACCTTCGAAACCATTAGTAAGGATTTTAGTTTGGTTTGGTTTATTTTACGGTATATCAACCTCAATGGGTCATTTAATGCCGACAACTTTTTTTCCTGGTAATATTTTTGTTTAATCAAAAATCCATTTCTGTTAATATTTTGTTCTCAAAAATCTATAGTTGGTAATATTATTTTTTCAAAAACGTATAGCTGGTAATATTTTTTTTTCCAAAAACGTATAGTTGCCAATATTTTTTTTTTCAAAAACGTATAGCTGGTAATGTTTTTTTTTTCAAAAACGTATAGCTGGTAATATATTTTTTTAAAACGTATAGCTGGTAATATTTTTTTTTAAAACCGTATAGCTGGTAATATTTTTTTTTTTCAAAAACGTATAGCTGGTAATATTTTATTTCAAAAACGTATAGCTAGTAATATTTTTTTTTTCAAAAGCGTATAGCTGGTAATATTTTTTTTCAAAAACGTATAGCTGGTAATATTTTTTTTTTTAAAAACGTATAGCTGGTAATATTTTTTTTTCAAAAACGTATAGCTGGTAATATTTTTTTTTTCAAAAAACGTATAGCTGGTAATATTTTTTTTAAAAAAAACGTATAGCTGGTAATATTTTTTTTTAAAAAAACGTATAGCTGGTAATTTTTTTTTAAACGTATAGCTGGTAATATTTTTTTTTTAAAACGTATAGCTGGTAATATTTTTTTTTTTTCAAAGACGTATAGCTGGTTATATTTTTTTTTTTTAAACCTATAGCTAGTAATATTTTTTTTTTCAAAAACGTATTATCAGAGGGCTTGCTATTGGACGTAGTTTATCCTCTTATCCAGGATGCGGACGTAGTTTATCGTCATACCCAGGACGTGGATGTAGTTTATCGTTATGGGTAAATAGCAGGACAGACCGGGTTGGAAGGCAACTGGTCTATCGCAGAAAGAAATGGCAACCTACTGCGGGAAAAAAAATCTGCCTCATCAGTCATGTATCGAAAGATACATGATCGCTTAAGCGTGTATCACGCATGACACATAACTGAATCGGAGAGCCGAGTTCGAATTCCAGTCGAATCCATTACATTCATTTACGTGCTAATACCCTTGTGAAAGGTATGGATCCTCTTCCATGGCTAAATAGCAGGACAGACCGGATTTTATAGCCTTGGATGGAAATTGGTCTTCCGTAGAAAGAAATAGCAACCTACTGCGGGAAAAAATCTGCCTCATCAGTCATGTGTCGAAAGATACATGATCGCCTAAGCGTGTATCACGCATGGCACATAACTGACTGATATTCACTTACATGCTAATATTCTTGGGAAAAGGTAGGAATCCTCTTCTTCTCCCCCTAGCTATGAGTAAATAGCAGGACAGAGCGGGGTTCTATAGGCTTGGATGGAAACTGGTCTATCGCAGAAAGAAATGGCAACCTACTGCGGGAAAAAATCTGCCTCATCAGTCATGTATAGAAAGATAGATGATCGCTTAAGCCTGTATCACGCATGGCACATAACTAACTGATATAATAATATACGGTTTAATAAAGAAACGGAGCGTCTACTCCAATATGGGTATCCATTAAAAATAACGTTTAAGAAATGACTAAAAATAGCTTGCATTAATAAATGTAATCCATTCCTAAAGATTGTCTTTGATTACGTTAGTATACGTAAGTGAATAGAAGACGCTTTTCCTTAGCGGAACGCAGGTTCGAATCCTGCCATAAAACACATATTTTTTCTTTACTTCTATTCAGGACGGTAGTTGGAAATAAATAAATATACTGTTTAGTAAATACACAGGTCATCTGCACAAATATGGGTACCCATTAAAAGAATAACATTTAAGTAATACACAAAACTATATAAATAAAAAAATAAACACAGCATAGAGACATATTGATCGATCAATAAATCAGAGAATATTGATACAGACATATGAGGAGTCTATAATATGAACAGATTGAAACATATATGCTTGGTTCTTTTTTCTTTTTATGTAGCGTGTCCCTTCAGAACGTAGACGATCATGACTCTCCACTTTTTATCATCCCTTGTAGCTCTCAATAAATTTTGTCCTTCTGCCCACCCCCACAGACCACGTTCTGTCATCCGCTTGCTTAAGCCCGCTAGGTATGTCATGCGTTCATTTCCCTTGTCTCTCTTTCCCTCTATTCGACCCGTGAGTATCCGATTCTCCAAGCCCTCCTTTCTCATTACATGTCCCAGAAATTTCATCTGCCTTTTCCTGATGTTAAGTGTAAGCTTCCTCATTGTTTGCATCCTCTCCAAAACCTCATCTTTGCTCACACGCTCGGTCCATATCCTTAGCATCCTTCTGTAGAACCATACATTCGTCGCCTCGAGTCCCTGTGAATTTCATATGCTGGGTATTACCCCTTAATGTGTTGAAGTCGTCTGTGAAATTGTTAGAGGCGATGGGAGTAAGTAGCTATATCTCAGACCAGAAGGTAGACCAGGAGTAAGAATTCGAATCCTGTTACTCGTCGAACGGCTCTGGGTTGCAATTCGCATTTGTGACTGTGTGAAATTCAAGTTCTTCTACCGGCACTGTACTGCGATAACGTTGAGTCAATCGATTTCCAGTGACCAACTCACCTGATAACTCGTCAGATATATCTGTTTAAATCTATGAAGTTCAAACAGGTTGAGAGAAAGATATCAACAGACAAATACGCACAGCTAAGACCAGGCAAAAATATGACACAATCGATAACGAAAACAATGAATATGATCAAAGAAAGCCAACACTGGCTCAGGGTCACGTTTTAGGGGCTCCAAATTAGATTGATCGATAGGCTG